AATAAAAAGGAATCTTGGGACACAACTTGTGGAACTACAAATTAGTACAGCTTCTTCAGAGTTCAATTAATTTTCAGCCAAAAAAGAAGTGAAAAATATACAATATTAGGGCAAGGCTCATAAATAAATTTTAGGACAAATGGGTAGTCACATGCAAAAAACAGTGAACTCAACTCTTTACACCATATATAAAAATCAATTAGAAATGGATGAAAGATGTGACTAATGAGACCTTAAACTATAAAACTACAAGAAGTAAACAGAATAAAAGCACTTAAGCATTCCTTTTGGCAATAATCATTTTTCATCTGACACCAAATATAATGGTAACAAAAGTGAAAAAAAAGACATTAGGATCACAAACTAAAAATCTACACAGCAAAGGAGCAATCAGTAAAATAAAAAGCAACCTATAAAATGAGGGGAGTTCTTTGCAAAAAACACAGACAGTAAGGGATTGATAAGGAAATATATAAAGAACACATACAACTCAATATTGAATAAACCAGATTACTAAAATGGACAAAGAGGGGTTGGGGAGATTGCTCGGTGGTCAGGGTTATGTGCACAGCATGCATCAGGACCCTAAGTGGACCTCAGCACCATAGAGGACCCTCAGCACCACCAGGTACAGGCCTAGAAGCCCCCAAGAATATTGGGTTGCTCAAATGACCAGCACCACAAAGCCAAGTGCAGAAGTGCCCGACCCAGTTTACCAATACGGGACCAGCACATTAGGCTGTGATGCTCATCACAGCTGCACACATTTAGTTGCAAAACTCACACATATCTGTCTCAGGTGCCACCAAAATCACTGACATTGCCAGGGATCACAAAAAAACAGAGCTGACTGTCAAAAATTGCAGCACCACTGCACAGTTCTCAGAACCTTTGGTAGCAGTGGGAATTGAACTTGCAGACTTACCCTTGCAAGGCACATGGTCTAAGTCACTGTGCTACCCCATGAGCCCCTGAGCAAAAAATATCAGTAGACATATTTCCAAAGACATACAGATAACCTACAGATAAAGAAAAAGACACTCAATATCACTCAAATTTAAGGAAATGCAAATCAAAGTCTAAATGAGATCACTTTACAACTGTTTAGAATGATTGGTTTAAGACAAAAAAAAAATAACAAGTGTTGTCAAGGCTTTGGAAAGAAAGAAACCCTTGTATACTTTTGGTGGTGATATAAATTGATGCAGCTACTATGAGAAATATGATGGAGATTCCTGAAAAAACAAAACTAGATCTACCACATAGCCCAGCAATCCCAATTCTGCTTACATATCCAAAAGAAACAAAACTATCGTCCCAAAAAGATTCATGTACTCCCATACTCATTACATCACTATTCACATTAATCAAAGAATAGAAACATCTTACATGTCTGTTGATGACTCTGGGAAGCATTATGTTAAGTGAAATAAATCAAAGAAAGAAAAATACCTCATTCAAATGTAAAGCTTAAAAATTTCTAATCCAAATTGTAGAAAAGTTGCTTAAAAAAAAGAGAATATTGAAAAAAATGGAAAGGTTGGTAAAAGAATACAAACTTTCAGATGTCAGAATAGGGTCTGAATATCTAATGTACAGCATTGTGACCATGGCTGATAATGCTATACTATAAATTAAATGTTCTCACAAAATAAAAGTAAATAAATAGAAAGGCAAATATGTGAGGTGATAAATTAATTTAGTAGGGGAAATTCACAAAATATATGTGCTATCAGATCACTTTGTATACGTTAAATCCCAATTTTATTTGTCAATTAGACCTCAATAATGAAATAGTACAATGTGTTGCCTTAAAATTCAACCCTCAAAGAAATAGGACTCAGTTATCTAGTCAATAATGTATCCTCACATCATACACACATTCAATAAAATATTGCTGATCAAATTCCTTGACTACAGGTAAGTTTTCCTAAGTGGAAAGACAGTTCAAAATGCTGGAAGTTAATTAAGGGCTTATGTTTTGAAATTACAACTCTCTGAAGTATAAATCTATTTAACTTGGTCAATGAAATTCAGGAAGTTAATTTGCATATATGGACTTGCTTTTTTGCCTTCATGCATGACTTTATTATTTTTCTTTTAGCTTTTTTTTTTGAGGGTGGACAGGTGGGAAAAGGAGCATATCTTATCCACATAGAGCTATTCCTAGTTGGTGCTCAGCAGTCACACACATGGCTCAGGGGGCCATGCAGTGCATGGAATCAAATCTGGGGCTCTAGCATGCAAATATGTGTTCCAGCTCTTTAAGCAATCTCTCTGGCCCTACTTTAACTTTCAATTTTTGTTGGTTATTGGGAGGGGAGGTGTGCTACACCTGGTTGTATGCTCAAGGCTCACTCCTGGATCAGTGCTCAGGGATTACTACCTGTGGGGTGTGTGGGACCGTATGTCATCTTGGGGATCAAATTCAGGTCTGATGTGTGGAAGGCAAATACTGTACTATCACTCTGGTCCCAACTTTAGCTTTCTTTATACGAAAACATGAATATTTAGTATTTTTTCTCTTAGTTTGCTAAAACAAAAGGTGTGTATACAAATATATAGAAAGAGACCAGAGAAATATTTTACACAAATTCTCTGGCAAGTCTTTATCATCAAAACTTCTCTTTTTTTTCCATATGGAACAATCACTTTAAAATGGTGATTCCCAAACTTCATCATGTCAGGATCATATAGAAATGTCTAGGCTCCACTCTGAGTTTCTAATGAAGAAGGTCTTAAGTGAAGAACCATAACCTGAATTTTCACAAGTCCTCAAACTTGCTGGTGCTACTGGTCTGGGACCCACACTTGGAGACCATTACCTCAATGAATTAGAAATTAATGCTGTACTACAATGAGAACTATAGAAGATACTATAGAAGATGTTGCTGGGGCAAGAGGATGCTCTTGGAGAGAAAAGTAAAAAGAATATATGAATGCTCCAGTAGTCTCCAAGCACCACGTGTGCTTAAAGAAAGAAAAGGAGAAAAAAAACCAATCCAAAAGAATAAGAGTAGTGAACCCAGCCTTTTTATTCCCGTCTGGGATAAACAGGAGGGTGTGGGTGGGGGATGCATGAAAGGGGTGGAATACTTAATTGAAAGTGTGAGTTGTAGTTGGTCTTGTCTGGAAGGCTCAATTCCTTTGCCTGGAATTCAGTTTCTACCTCTTTTCCATTGTTTAAAAGTCAATTCAAGGGGCTGGAGCGATAGCACAGCGGGTAGGGTATTTGCCTTGCACGCCGCCGACCTGGGTTCGATCCCCGGCATCCCATATGGTCCCCCAAGCACCGCCAGGAGTAATTCCTGAGTGCAGAGCCAGAAGTGACCCCTGAGCATTGCTGGGTGTGACCCAAAAAGGCAAATAAATAAATAAATAAAAGTCAATTCAAAAGTGTCATGGTGATCTTTAAGGTGGTGTGAGGTTAGGAGAGTCTTTCGCCAGAAGATCAGGGAAGCTGAGGCTATCACCCTTGTCCTGGGTTACTCATTTTATTGTGTGTCCCTTCTGGAAAAATAACAAATAAAACTCAACTCAAATAGTTTAACATTCATATGAGTAATGGCTAAATACAGTGAATTCCTGTGTTCTGAATGCATCACTTTAAGAAAATAACACAAATAGGTTAATTAAAGGTTTAAATACTTTTTTAAAAAATGCATGATAGACCTTTCTTAGTAAAATGTATTCAAGCACACATGACCTCTTTTTTGTTGTTTATTTGTTTAGGGGCCACACCTGGCGGTGTGAGGGGACTACTCCTAGCTTGGTGTTGAAGATCACTCCTGGTGGTACTGAAGAAACAAACCTGGGTCTCCCGTTAGCATAGCTCACGCTTCAATATCCGGAGTCATCTCTCAAGCCCTTTACATAATCTGATTTTAAAGACAAAACTGGTAATCAGGATAACTGTTTCACAATTTAATAAATGAGATAACCCCTATATTTAAAATGAGAGGCATTCCTTGTTTTTTTCTTCCAAAATTTTATCTTATTAACACTGTGAATTACAAAGTTATTCAGAGCTGAGTTTATGACATACAATGTTCCATCACCAATTCTCCCACCAGTGTAGGCTTCCCTCCACAAGCATCCCCAAAATAAATGTCAATATTCCTATTACCCAAATCTCATATTCCGAAAAGGTTTCCCATTCTGACTAATTAATGGTTGCCTAGCATTAGCCAAGTACTGGTTTAGGTACTACAACTTATCACATTCATTCATTGGAAGTATCTGACAAGTCTAATATCTAATATTCAGTAACTGTCTATCAATAGTTAAGCAAATGAATTTCAGTAAAATTTACACAGGTATAGAAATGTTTTTTAAACAAAGGCAATCCAGTATAATCTAAACATAAAGGAATTGCCTGATACTTTAAAGTGACTTATCTTTAAAATTAATTTAAAAACAGCTAAGCAGCTCTGCAGAAAATTTACGTAGCAGGACTGAGACTTTTGTCTTATAAAGACCTTCTTACCAGGTGGGTCCATGGTCAGCATCTGGGAACCTGACTCTGAGAGTGTTCCCAGGGAACAGTTAACTGATCATGGTGATTCACTGTGCCTAACTTGTATTCAAAAATAGTTTGGCTTTAAACAGCTGAACATCTGCTTTCCTTCTGAGAATCTGGAATTTTTATATGTGCTATCAAGGATGTGTATGTGATGAACCTCAGTCAATACCTTGAACACAGAGTTTGTGCTGGGCTTCCCACCTCACACCCTGTCCTGCATTTTTACTGCTGTTAGGAGGGTATGTTTTTAGTGACATACGGTACATAACCATGACTGTACATGGATTCTACTAAACTCTGACTGTGTCTCTTTCATTTCTGATCTACTTGGGAATTCTTATTACTTGACAGTAACTCATTTTAACAAATAACATAAAGATATGGCAAGTCTAGCAAATTTCACCAACTCTCCAAATGTGATGAGGATCCCCCTCCACTCCGGTACTGCACCTTTTTTCTAAAAGCCATGGTTCTTTACCTGCTGATACGCTTCATAGATCACATCAAACAGAAATGCCTGTGGCATTTCACTTGCTCTGTGTCTAGCACGTTCCAGTGAATGGTCCAAAATACCATCTTCAGATGGACTGATGACAGTGGATACAAGAGGTCGAATAGCTCCTGATGCCTGCAGAATAGAAAGGCAAAGATATTTCACATAGAGAATCTTTTAAAATCAAATTCTAAACTTCATAGGTCATTTTGAATGCAGATACCAGTTTTCACTCATCCCAAGAAAATATATGAAGACATTATAGTTCATAATTTATTATTCCACATCAAAACCAGTCTCATCATATTACAGCACTAATTCCTGTGAAAAAATAGTTCCCTTCAACAAATTCCTGTGAAAAAATAGTTCCCTTCAACATAGGCTTATTTCACTGATTCCTCAGGCTAGATACCCAATGCAGTCGTCAATTGATACTGATGAATATCATCTCATTAATATAGTCATCTAAACTTAAAAGAATCCCCTCATATCATAGTTATTCACTTTATTGTTAATAGAATCTTCTTATAATGTAATACAAAAGGACTTAGTGAAATTGCATTAAAATATAGTTTCATGGTAAGAAGTTAAGTAACTCTTATATTGACTCCAAAACATCCTATCTTCTACATCATTGTTACATAAGTATTACCGCACACGAAACTAATGTATAACCAAAACAAATATAGTCATAAGGAGAACACTAGAACAAGATTGATTAGAAACTAGTTTATGAAAACCAAGATACTGGCTGGAAAACAAAGCTGATGTGTGAACTAGGTAAAGAATTTAGACACGTCACTATTTTTAGTGGTGCAAGTAAAAATTTGTAATCTAGAGATAAGAATAAAAAAACTAAGGAGATAGTAAGGAATGAAAGAAAGGGACTGATCTTCAAGTGGAAAAATAAATGAAGGTAAGCAGCATGTCCAACTCCCACCTAAAAGGTAAGAAAATAAAATAGGCAAGACACAGATGCCTAGCACATATATAAACACAAGTCTAAGGAAATAATTAAATTCCCATTGCAACTACTTAGAGGTACTATTGAGATTTCTTTCCAGACCATGAACTTATATATACATATATATATATATTTGTGTGCATTATATATAACATATATACGAGAAAATGAGATATCCAAATGTCAGCAAAAGAAGTTCTGCAAACTCCTCAGCTAAAAAAACTAGTGAAAATTATTTAAAAAACAAATATTTAAAGTCTGAAAATTGTTCTAGGGACATTTAGCAAACTAAGAAACATTACTCAAGAAGATATGCTGCATTTTGGTAAGAATAGGAAGCTTGTGGTACTGGAGCCATGATGTGTTTCTTTCATTAATGCCCAGTGTGATTGAAATTTCATTCAAAATAGAAAGAAGGAGGGAATCTGCAAGGAGAGATAGCTCAACAGGTCAGAGCACATGATTTGCAGGAGGTCTTGGTTCAATCCCCAGAATTACATGGACCCCCAAGCACCCAGCCAAAAGTAATGTCCCGCACCAAGTCAAGAATAGCCCTGAGAAAGGATATTCGCCAACTACACATCTGATAAGGGGTTAATTTCAAGGATATACAAAATACTGGTTCAACTCCACAAAAAGAAAACATTCAACCCCATCAAAAAATGGGGAGATGAAATGAACAGAAACTTTGACAAAGAAGAAATCCAAATGGCTAAAAGACACATGAGAAAATGTTCCACATCATTAATCATCATGGAGATGCAGATCAAAACCACAATGAGATATCACCTCACACTGCAGAGACTGGCCCATATCCACAAGAACAAAAGCAACCGGTGCTGGCGCGGATGTGGTGAGAAAGGGACACTCCTTCACTGTTGGTGGGAATGCTGACTGGTTCAGCCCTTTTGGAAAACAGTATGCATGATTCTCAAAAAACTAGAAATTGAGCTCCCATTTGACCCAGCAATACCACTCCTGGGAATATATCCCAGAGAGGCAAAAAAGTATAGCCGAAGTGACATCTGCAATTGTCTGTTTATTGCAGCACTCTTTATAATAGCCAGAATCTGGAAAAAACCTGAGTGCCTGAGAACAGATGACTGGTTAAAGAAACTCTGGTACATTTACACAATGGAGTACTATGTAGCTGTTAGAAAAGACGAAGTCATGAAATTTACATACAAGTGGTACTACATGGAAAGTATCATGTTAAGCGAAATGACTCAGAAAGAAAGGGATAGACATAGAAAGATTGCATTCATCTGGGGAACATAAAGTAACAAAATAGGAAACTAACACCCAAGTATGGCAGAGATTAGTACCAGGAATTTTACTCAATGACCCGGAGGACAACCATACATGTTAGGGGAAGGGGGAGCTAGCTCAGAAAGAGAAGGGAACACCAAATAAAGGGTGTTGGGTGGATCCGCCCACAATGGGAGAGCAAGCTGAGGGTAGACTATCGACCAAACATGATTGCCACTCAATGCCTCTTTTGCAGACCACAGCACTCAAAAGGAGAGAGAGGGAAATGCCCTGCCACAGAGGCAGGGTGGGATGGGGGCTGGGGGGTGGGAAGGGATACTGGGATTCGTGGTGGTAGGAAATGCACACTGGTGGAGGGATGGGTGTTTGATCACTGTATAATTGAAACCCAAGCACAAAAATGTATAAGTCTACAACTGTACCTCATAATGTCTCACTATTAAAAAAAATAATAAATTAATTAAAAATATAATAAAATAAAATTTTTAAAAAAAGAGTAAATGAAGGACTCCAGAACAAATGTCTTCTTTTGGGGGTGACTTGTTACCTGGAAAAGATTCTGTCATGCAATTGTTATATGACAACAAATTTAATTTGTGATCTTTGTCTTTATTTTTGATGACTCTCATGTAATATCTACAGTAATACTTCTGTTTCATGCATCATTTTTCACAAAAAAGCTTAAATACTTTATATAACATTCTCATAAAAAAAAAAAAGAATAGCCCTGAGAACCAGTGTAGCCAAAAAAAAGCAAAACAAAATTTAAAAAAAAGAATAGATATGTATAGAAAGATTGGGCTTCCTGAAGACTATGGGATAGTACAGGAAAAAAGATGCTTGTCTTATAGATGACTAACCTGGCTATGAACCCCAGAATTCATGTCTCCATGTCGTCCCCTGATCCCTGCCAGGAGTAATTCCTGAGCACAGGGCCAGAAGTAAATCCTGGTCACAGCTAGGTGTGGCTCCAAAACAAACCTGGCGTCCTGACCCCTAGAGCCCAAAGAGAAGTGCTAAGTGTCAGCTTTCACCCCTCCCTTCATATTACATAAGTTATAGGCATTGTGTCCAAAAGGTTGGAGACTCCTTTCCTCTACCTGGTCTTCATAAAATGATCTGCTCAGGCATGATAGAGTATAAATACCAGGGCCCTGGTAATCCTTGTTCCAGATCACACACAGGGACGGAGGCGAAACCAAAAGAGTAAAGTCATCTACTGCCCTCATGCTGCACCTTGCTCAGGTTGTAGGTGTCTCCCTCTAAGACCCATGAGGCACAGCATCAACACCTGGACTCCAAGTAGAGCAATGAGTTCACACCCAGGGTGTGAGGCAGCTCTGGGCCATGGAAATGCGACACACTCCCCAAAGGAATTCTTATCTGGAACAGAGTGAAGTTCAAGCCTAAATACATTCTCCAGAGAATTGGAAATTTTATTTTGCACAATTAAGAATACATAGGTAGCTACATGCAAGCAGAGGCCAACTGGTTTATAAGACAACATATGGAAAAGCTAAAGGAGACTCTTTGAGTTGGAGTAAATACTGGATTCAAAACTGACTTCAGCTAAGGATCTAATTAGATTCCCAATTCTAACTGGGTCAGATGAAGGAGTAATGTATACCCCAATCATGGTGAAAATAAACAATTATCAAGAAATAAACAGAGTTTGTCAGCCCCCATGTGATATCAGAGGTTGACAGTATCACAAAGGCTAGGACCCTACCCAAACTACTAACATCCCACAGTGACTATCCCAACACTGCAGCCTCCAACTACCAATTTTTTTCACGTTTGAAAGTGCCAAATCAACGTGAAAAAATTCAATAAGCTCTAACATCTTTTCTAACCCAATAATAATAATAATAATAATAATAACAATAATAATAATTAAAAGTAAGCATATAGACTCTATGATTATTTTTTAGTTTTTTTAATGTTTATTAGTGAAACACCATGAGGTACAGTTGTATACTTACAAATTTTTGTGCTTGGGTTTCAGTTATACAATGATCCAGTACCCATCCCTCCACCAGTGCCCATCCTCCATCATTTTCATTTTTTTTTAATTTTTGTTAGTGAAATACCATGAGGTACTGTTGTAGATTTACAAATTTTTGTGCTTGGGTTTCAATTGTACAACGATCAAACACCCATCCCTCCACCAGTGCCCATTTTCCACCACCATGGGTCCCAATATCCCTTCAACCCCCCATCCCACCATCCCACCCTGCCTCTGTGGCAGGGTATTCCCTTTTGTTATGATTCTTTTTTTTAAAAGCAGGCAACAGAAACCACTTATAAAAGAAGACAGTGCCAAATTTAACAAATAAAAATTTCTAATCATCTATTATAATATGCTCAAAGAAGTAAAGGAAATTATTGTTAGAAAGGAACACAGGAATAGCTGTAGCAATTATAAATATATATGCAATATTAAGACCCGGACATTAGCAATATAGCACTGTAGCACTGTCCTTCCATTGTTCATCAATTTGCTCGAGCGGACCCAGATATTAGCTTTAAAAATTAAAAATCATAAAAATGTCAAGTATAATAATCAAAGCAATTCTAAAATAACTCAAAAATAAATTTGAAATGGAGAAAAAAATAATGAATTTAAAATTAAAACAGAGCCAGAGAGATCCTACAGCAGTTAGGGCACTTGCTTTGCACATAGCTGCCCAAGTGTGATCTTGGATGTCCCCTATGGTCCCCCAAACCTGCCAGGCATGATCCCTAGATGCAGAATCAGGAGAAAATCCTTAGCATTGCTGGGTATGGCCTCAAAACAAACAAACAAACAAAAAAATGAATAAATAAATTTCGATCAGTTCAAAGAATAAAAAACAAACAAAAAAATTAAGGAAAACTGAAATTTAAGTATGCATAAGTAGTA